ATCAACTTTTTTTATTTTCCATACCAGCTACATGGCTTATTGAGCTGAAAGAAAAAAACTTTTGAGATGATAAATGATTTTATGGTTGTAAAATGCTATGTTCTTATATATTGACCCGCAAGTATCACGCAACAAAAGGTCACCGTAGTAATGACTTGAAGTGAGGGGCAGTTGAGTTATGGAGTCAAGTCCAATAGTAATAGTTTGGGAAATTCTCACTTTAATTCCTAAAATATATAATTTAATTATATTTAAATTTTTAAATTTTATTTTTTAATTTTTAAAATTAGTAATCATTAATTACATGTTAATTTTTATTATAAAAAAATATTAAAATTAAATAACAAAGTAATAATTTATCACACTAAATAACACATATCAGTGATACAAAATTATATTATTTTAATTTTTTTAAAAAAATAGATAATTTTTGTCTTTAAATTTTAATATTTTTAGATAAGGTCCCTTCTCGTTTACTATCACTTGTTAATCTCAAAGAGATTTTAAATTGAAGATAGATCATTATAAGGGATTATGAAGATTTCAGTGACAACTTTTGTAAGAACTCACACTAAAAATGTACTCATTGTCATCAATATCATACATGAGACTTCTTCATTAAATTGATAATAATTGATTGTCCATTTACATATTTAAGGCTTAGATCTAGTGATTCAAGTGAGAAAACTCAAGATGAATGAGCTTTGCACTGTAAATGTTATTGTACCAGTTGTCAGAAAAAGAAAGATGTTATGGAAAAAGAAGTAAAAACAAAAAGAATCTTATTGCTTAAAATTTAAAGAATTAATTTGACCTACGCTGCATATTTCAATGATTAAAATAAAGGTTTATTCATTATAATTTACATGTACACCAAATTATAGGAATATTTTGAATTGTTTATTTTAAAACAAACAGTTATTACCTTCTATGTATAAATTATGATGACTAATTGTTAAAATAAAATAATTTATTTAAAATTAAATGGAGTTGTTTTTAAGGAATATTTTTATTACATTAAATTAATTTTTTAATATTATTTATTTATGTTTCAATTAATATTAATTAAAATTTAATTCATCATAATTTTTAAACTTTATTTAATATAATAAATTTTTATATTATAATATTTTTTAAATTTATTAAATACATATATAGTTTTAATTATTTATTTAATTTATTTGATTTAATTTAATAATACACATGTACGCGGAAAAATTATTAATTTTGTTAAAATTATAAAGTTAAAAATTACATGCTTTTTTAATATAAAATAAATTAAACACGCGTTAAATGTCAGTTTTTCCAGATTTTTGTTTGGATTAAAAGTAAAGTAGGGACTATAAAGTTTCTAGAAATATAAGAATGTTGATATTTTAAAACTGAATTTTGAAGGAAAAATATTGTAAATAATATGAAATATCATAATTTATTTAAAAAATAAATTATTTTTTATTTGACTTAATTACTTGACACTGATTTACTTTAAAAATTATATATTAATAAGTTTTTAAATATTTGAAAAAAATTAAATTTTCAGTTTTTAACATTTTAGAAGCTTAATTAATATCTCAAAATTTAAATAAACTACATTAAAATTAGTCAAGTTCTTATTAAACAAAATTCATATTTTTGCTTAACAAAAATTACAGTGTCAATAGTTTAACTATATATTTTTGTATACTTTGTTACCTATTTTTATATTAAAAAAAATCATTTATTCAAAATATAATATATATATATATATATATATATATATATATAAAGTTAAAGACCATTTTATGCAATATTTTATATTACTTTATTAATATTTCTATTTTTTACTGTTATATAATATAGATTACATCAATGTAATTAAAAATACTAATATAATTGGATTGAATAATTTTAATCTATCTATGCAAAGTCAAGTCTCAAGTCACAAGTCAACCACATGATTTGACCTGGTCCACACGCCACTTTGCCCAAACTTAACGATGGGATAGAAAAGTGTTGTCATCTCCAACAGTCATCACCACTCACAGTCAAACCTTCATTTTCATGCGTCACTTTTACACTGAAAAGAAAGGGTAATAATATTTTTATAATAATTTTGTTAAGGTAAAAAATTATACAATTTTTGTGCAGATATTTCACCAATAAAGAAAATGCGTATTACATACAGATTCACGTTGTTTACATTTTCTTTTTAATTTTAACTTCACATATTTTTTTTTCATAAACTTTGAAATCACTAAATATCAAAAAGAGAAGAGAGAGTAAAAATAAAATAAAATTACAGTAAATATAAAGACAGCATCTCCGATTCCAACCTAAAAATTAATCGGAGTTGTGAAGTTATATATTTATTTTTAAATTTTTGTAAAAACCTTTATTGTAATCCGTTATTTTTATCATAAAAAATGTTAATATATGTTTTAAGAGTAGGTTAAAGAATTAAAAAAAAATATTCTTTATTAAAATAAAAAATATATTTACCTTCATAATTTTTATCGTATCTTAATGTAAATTTTAATAATTTTTTTATCAATTCTTTAATTAATCTATTCAAAGGATTCGTGTTTAGTTAAGAGTCTCTCTCTAATCTGTACACTAATTAAGCGTCTTCTTTCAACAAATGATAGCTTAAATAAATTAATTATTAGATTCAATAACAAGAAATAACAAAATTAAAACCAGTATTAACTTAACAAAAATAATATAGAGGTAATAAAAATTTTAAAAATTAATCACAACTAAGTTGGTTTGATTTGTAACAATATATGAAAATATCTTTCTACAAGAGATAAAATCATTTCAATAATTTTATATTTCAAAAGAATTACTCATTATCTAATTGCACAATATCTTATATATATATATATATATATATATATAATTTATTTAAATAATACAAATTTTTTTTACATATTAAGTAAATATTTTTTGTCAAAAATTTTATAAACAAAAAATGTAAATGTGAGTCCTAAAACACACCTAGTTGGATTTTGTCTTTTTTACTATGTTGCTGCATCTTTAATGATTTTACATTGAATATTTTGAATATAGATCTGAGTCTATATTTTATAAAGATAAGGATTTTAGATATTATGATCTAAATTTATTTTAGGATACGAAGATATCATCTAAAAAGTTATAGAAAATTTTACTGTTCCTTTTTTGACTAATGACTTAAAAAAATTAATAATATTGACCTAATAATATGTCATGAATCAAATATTTATTTAGAAGATTATGAAATTGGTACTCTCCATATAAATTTATTATGATCTTAAATTTTTTTTTAAACAATTATTAGTTTTAATTATATCCATTAGAAGTTAAGTAATATTTAAGAGGAAAAGTAAGACTCAATTTTACATTTGAATGATAATTTTTTTAGTTAAATTATATATACACCTTCTTTTTAATGTATTTAACAGTTCCTTAATCATTATCTTTTAGTTTAGAGACAAAGAATGTTATTTAAATCTAAAGATTTGAATTTTCAGAAATTATTGTCAAAATTTTAATTCTTGTTTTTTTTTTTATTTTATAACAAAAAAATTCCTGTAGTAGGTAATTATTTACTTAGATTCAATATTGAAAACAAAACTTCACACTTTTTTTATTGTCATGGGGAAAATTTAATAAGATATATGTTAGATTAGGCTTGAAAAAAAAATTAATTCTTTTCTTTAAGGAAAAGATAAACAACCTCTAAATTAAGAGAAAATTTTTTAGTGTCGTTACTTTCAAGCTAAATGGATGAATTTAGGTGATAGGAATAATAATTTTTTTTTATAAAGTTATTTAAATACATACTTTATGAGATTCTTGACATAAATTTATTATAAAAATTTTAAAAGTTATCATTTTAATAAATTATAAAAAAACATTAAAATAAATTAAAAAATGTTATAAATCCTTTCAAATTTTTTCAAATATTAGTTAATGGAATGAAACTATTCATTTTACTTTAATTTTATACAACCACACTATAGAATAAGATAGTATTGAAAAATTAAGAAGAGAATAAAATGATATATTAATATTTTATCTACTCTATTTAGTAATTATAGAACAAAATAGGACATAAATGTCTTGTTTTATATTTGGCCCTCTTATTAAATAGAACATAATCTTATTTTTTATTTAGGTATTATCTTTATACTGTTAAACATTTAATTGAGTATTAAAACAATTAAATAAGGTATACTTTTTTTCTTAGGCGTCATTTTATTCTGATTATTATACAATAGTTTAAAATTTTTTTAATATATATAGATAATAATTTAAAAGAGGTATATATATATATATATATATATATATATATATATATAATAGTGTTCATTAAAAAAATACAAGTGAGGTTAATTATAATAAATACTTTTATTTAACATATATTTACGAATATATAATAAAAAGTTATATGCAAAATAAAATCATATAAAAATTGTATGATATAACAAAATTTAATATACTACGAATAATAAATATTATTATTTTAAATAACATTTATTATTTTTAAATTTTTCAACGTATATTAAAAATAGATAAAATAAAGGTGTGTGTTGTGATATTCAAAATCTTTTTATTGATATTATATTAAAAAAATTATACTAATAAAAAAAACAGATATCAACTTATAAAAATTATATATAAAAATATGTTTCTAAGTATTATTGATTGTAGCGTAAATATTTTTAACGGTACTACATAATTTACCAAAAATAAATGCATGACACGAACCTTTGTGGTTATATCTTCCTTTTGCGTTGTTGTCTCCAACTTCCACTAGTCCATCAATCTGGTTTCACACATGAAACATTGCAGTCTCTTTCTGGAACGGTTTCACACTATTTAGCGAGCTAAATCAAAAGTTTGGGTAGGAACGTTGGTATTCGGCTATCCCCAATGCACACGTTACGTTATATACAAAAACCCATTTGTTGCATTCGTCCTACATCCAACTACATTTATGATTATTGTGCTCTATGCACACATTAACCAATACCAAAATGATGCCTCTAATAATGTTCCTTCTAAAGTTTGTTTCGCAATCCATCATGTTCATGTACATGACTCCAACTGCAATTGGCCTTGCTTTGAGTTCAGAATGTGATAAACTCGCTTTGCTTGACCTGAAGGAAAAGCTTACCAATGGCATACCTGATTCTCTCCCATCATGGAACAATTCTTTGCATTTCTGTGAGTGGCAGGGTGTTCAGTGTGGCCATCGCCACAAGAGAGTCACTACCTTGCATTTACAAAATCAAAATTGGGGTGGTACTTTGGGACCAGCTTTGGCAAATCTAACCTTCCTTAAAAGCCTCAATCTTTCCAATATTAATTTGCATGGTGAAATACCCACACAAGTTGGTCGTTTAAAGCGGTTGCAAGTTCTTGACTTGAGCAAAAATAATCTTCATGGTGAGGTTCCTATTGAGCTTTCTAACTGCTCAAATCTTGAGGTAATAAGCTTGCTGTACAATAAACTCACTGGGAAAGTACCCTCTTGGCTTGGATCTATGACACAGCTCACACAGTTGTTTCTTGGTGCCAATAATCTAGTGGGTACTATTCCACCTTCCATGGGAAATCTATCATCACTCCTGAATATATCTCTTTCAAGAAATAATTTGGAAGGAAATATACCTCATACCTTGGGTACGTTGTCAAATTTAGAACAGTTGTATCTTGGTTTAAATAGGTTGTCGGGTACCGTTCCTGATTCTCTTTATAACCTCTCAAATATTCGAGTTCTTGTTCTTGGGGAAAACCAATTATCTGGTACTCTTCCATCAAATTTGCAACTTGTAATCTTCACGCATTCTTGGTTGGGGGGAACCACTTCTCTGGAACTTTCCCATCCTCGATATCCAACCTCACTGGATTGAGATGGTTTGATATATCCAGCAATGGTTTTAAGGGGTCAATTCCTACTACTTTGGGAAGCTTAAGCAAACTTGAGAGGTTTAACATTGGTGATAATAGTTTTGGGAGTGGAAAAGCTCATGATTTGGACTTTCTCTCCTCATTAACCAATTGTACCCTATTGCAAGTGCTTATTTTGGAGGGCAATAAATTTGGTGGTGTGTTGCCTGATCTTATTGGTAACTTCTCTTCCAATCTCAATTGGCTTAGTATGGGGATTAATCAAATATCTGGAAGGATCACTGAAGGAATTGGACAACTAATCGGTTTAACTAACTTCATTATGATAGATAATTTCCTTGAGGGAACAATTCCAGATTCAATTGGAAACCTTAAAAGTCTAGTAAGATTGGCCTTGCAAGAAAACAAATTATCAGGTAACATTCCTACCGTCATTGGCAATCTTACCATGTTATCTGAATTTTATCTACACACCAATGAATTTGAAGGAAGCATTCCATCTACCATCAGATACTGCACCCGCATGCAATCATTTGGAGTTTCTGACAACAGCTTAAGTGGTGATATTCCTAACCAAACCTTTGGCAATCTAGAAGGTTTGGTAAATCTTGACCTATCCATCAACTCCTTCACCGGTTCCATTCCTTTGGAGTTTGGAAACTTGAAGCACCTTTCCTTGTTATATCTACATGAAAACAAGCTGTCTGGTGAAATTCCCTTAGAACTTAGTTCTTGTTTGGCATTAACAGAGCTCACACTGCAGAGAAACTTTTTCCATGGAAGTATACCTTCATTCTTGGGCTCTTTAAGGTCCCTTGAAATTCTAGACCTTTCTAGTAACAACTTCTCAAGCACAATCCCCATTGAACTAGAAAATCTGACTTTGGTGAGAACTTTGAACTTGTCCTCTAACCATCTTTGTGGTGAGGTTCCTATAGGAGGTGTCTTTAATAACATCACAGCAATTTCACTCATTGGAAACAAGGATCTCTGTGGGGGTATACAACAACTGAAGCTACCTGCATGCTCTAGGTCCCCTTGGAAGAAACACAAGTTGCCTCTTAAAAGCGAACTTATTCTCATCATTGCAATCGGTGGGGTTTTGTTCAGTTCCATAATATTTATCGGCCTCTACTATCTCAGGAAAAAATCCAAAATATCATCTTCTTTATCATCCTTGCAAAATAGGTACTCGAAGGTTTCTTATGGAGAGCTATATCAAGCAACCAATGGATTTTCTCCATGCAATTTAGTAGGCACTGGAAGCTTTGGTTCTGTTTACAAAGGATCACTCGTCCATTTTGAAAGACCTGTTGCTGTGAAGGTATTGAATCTTGAAACAAATGGGGCATCAAAGAGTTTCATGGCTGAATGTAAAGCCTTGGAAAAGATCAAGCACCCAAATCTTGTCAAGATCCTGACATTTTGTTCAACTTTTGATTACGATGGTGAAGTTTTCAAGGCTATAGTTTTTGAGTTCATGCATAATGGGAGTCTAGACAGGTTGTTGCACAGCAATGAAGAATGTGAGCCTAGAAATCTTAATCTACACCTTACACATAGAATAAGCATCGCTATTGATTTAGCTAATGCATTAGATTATCTTCATCATGATTCCGAGCAAGCTATAGTTCATTGTGATATTAAGCCAAGCAATGTTCTTCTTGATGGTGACCTTGTTGCTTACATGGGAGACTTCGGATTAGCTAGGCTCCTTCACGAGGCCTCAGGGCATTCCAGTAGAGATCAAATTAGTTCCTCGGCAATTAAGGGAACCATTGGATATGTTGCCCCAGGTAAAGCGTTTTAACATATTTTGCACGTACTTATGAAATTGCAACAGCAAAAGTAATTTGACTTACTTCAGGTTTAATTAGTGATAATTTATTGTCATTTAGATTAGATAGGATAGGATCATAGTTGCAATAATTTATTCAAACTGTACTAAATCCTAGTCTTTAGCTTCAATCAATTTTTCAATCTTGAGTGACAATCATCATCACCTTCAAATTCAGTATAATAAAATGATTCATTTATAATCAATGTGACTCTTAAAGGTAATATTGTTGTCTAAAGAATTGTTTTTGCTAGAGTATGGATTGGGTGGCCCAGTATCACCACAAGGAGATATCTACAGCTATGGAATTCTTCTATTGGAGATGCTCACTGGAAAGAAACCAACGGATAGCATGTTTTGTGAGGGTCTAAGCCTGCACAAATTCTGTAAGATGGCAATTCCAGAAGGAATCACTGAGATTGTTGATTCTCGTTTGCTAATCCCATTTGCTAAAGAATTAACAGTGGTTAAGGAAGGTGACATCAGGGAGTGTCTGGTGTCTTTTGCAAGGATTGGAGTTGCATGTTCTGCAGAATTTCCTGCTCAGCGAATGAATATTAAAGATGTTACAAAGGAGTTGCATGCAATTAAACAGAAGCTGCCCTGCTAGAAATAGGTTCACCATTCTCAGTTAGTTAAGGCTTGTATCCGTCACATTTTTCTGCACAATTTTGTTGTTTGCACTTTGCACCACTTCAATTCCTACATTGTGATTTTAAGAGCAACCATTACAAAGTAACCTTTTAGTGCGTTCCCTGTGTAGTACTAGATATGTTTTGGCTTGAATTTATATTGGATGAGTCTATTGCCACTTCAAAATATTTATTGTCACTCTTTAAATAATTCTCGTAAAAATATCTTTTTCTCATTGGTTAATTAAACTAATAATAATAATAATAATATTTAAAATAAAAAAATTAAATAGGGAGTAGTAATGGATATACAGGACTAACAATAGACAATCCCAAAATATTTGGAATCTTATTGCCACCACTAATGGAGAGCCGAACTCACCTCGATAGGGTGGTCTTGCTGTTGCTGAGGGCTGCTACATTTAAACCATGAGCCAAGGGATAGATTATGAATCAAATAACAATTGAAAATTAAAATGGAAAAGGGTTATTCCCAAATAAAGGTCACTGAAAATAAATGACAAAAAGTAATTAAAAAAGATTGGACCTCGTGCTTTATGACCCACAAAAATAACAAACTTGATTGATCCCCATCCTAAAGAAGCCAATTAATAAAAACTTCTGCGTGGGTCTGAGTCCACACAAGCTGTGGAAGATTGCACTGAATGTGAAGCTAATGTAATAATGACAACAACCATTCAAGTCAATCAGATCACATGAAAATCACGTGCTTAGGTATTAGATCAGAAAAGACTGTAGCATGTTTCACAGTTTATGTAGTGCGTCGGATTCAAGGACATGCATCCTCAAGAAAACGGATCATGGTAGTGAGTTCTCATTCTCACCTTACATTTGCATTCAATTTTAATTTCATATTCTTTGGCTGTATAATTACCATTTCAAGGACGTTGCCCATTATGAAAGCCATGAAACCAAACGGAATTTAATGCTAAGGAGTGAAGTTTCAATTGGCATTCGAAGAAAACACTTTTAGCTTCGAACTTTTCAAAATTTCGAATCGAAAAACTTGCACCGTCAAAAATCTTTCACTTAGAGGAAAACTTTTGTATTACAGCTTAATATCGTTGAAATTGAAAGCAATTTAATCGAACAAAGGATCAATGTTCGCGAAGCAATTAAATAAAATCTACAGCAAAAACCCTAACAAATAAGCAAAAGCAAAACCTTACAATTTGATAGCAATTCAGGTACATAAACAGAGGTTCTTCACCAGGACGAACGCGATCGGCGATTAATATAATAACAATATACACAATCACAGGAAAACAAAAACAATAAAAAAGGAGAACTCGTTCACCGGAAGAAGACGTGGATTTCGGAGCGCGTGAAGTTTCAATCAGCGCTTGGCGCTGTTATCGTAATCGACGATCTCGGAATCGGTGACGGATCTGGAGTGCTGAACGATAGAGCGACCGATGGAGTTGATCCAATCCTCCTTCTCCTTCTCGGAATCGGCGATGAAGTACATGGTGTCGGAGCGGGTAGAGAGTTCGAAGGCGTTGGGTTTATTTAGAACGTCTTCGGCGCCCTTGACGGTGAGGCAAGAGGCGACGGGGATGACGCCGCGTGGCCTGGAGGCGCGTGTGACGGAGGATTCCTTGAACCAGAAGAGCTTGCCTTGCTTGAGAACGAACCAGCGGCGGCGCCACGTTTTGATGTACTCGCCCTGCTTTGTGAGCCAACCAGTGCGCTCAGGATTGGACCAAAACTCGACGCCGTCGTAGTCGTTGGGTTTCTCCGTCAAGCCGGTCGCAGCGCGCCACAGGCTCGCCATCGGAGCTCAAAGGAGAAAGCAGAGAGAGAGAGAGAGACTCAGAGAGAGAAAGAAAATGAGATGAGAACCAACAAAAAAACTACTCGCTCACATTGCGTTGTTGGCTTAGCCGAGGGCGAGATTCTCTCTCTCCACTTCGTTGTTATTATTATTAGGGGGCTTTCGGTGTATTTAGATATTTTTAATTTAAACTAAAAATTAAAGAAAGTAATAACTATTTTTTATTAGTAATACTAACGTTTTATTATATTAAATAAGATATAATTAAAGAAATAATTTTTTTAAATTAAATAAGTTATAAAAATAAAGTATTAAAGTTAATATATTATTTTTATCAATAGAATATATTAAAATAAACATAAAAAATTAACAAAGAATAAAATATTTAATATAAAAATAGTCATGTGACTTCATAAAAATAATTTATAAAACTGTTTTTTTAAAAATATAAAGATATTATGATTATTATAAAATATTTTTTAATTATTATTTTATGATAGAAACAGAGAAAGAATGTATCTAGTCAATAAAGCCTTTTATTTAAAAGTAAAGGGAATAAACTCTCATATGACCGTAAACTTCTTCTAAAAATTGAAAAATTTTAAAAATTACACGATGACTTAAAATTTAATGTAATTTTAAACAAATTACTTAATTTGTATATATTTAATTTTAATTAATTATATTAAAATATAATTATCAGAAATTTTATTTAATGCAAATCTAGAGTGCATAGTTATGATTATAAAATTTAAAAATTAAATTATTATTAAAAAAATTAAATAACTTTTTAAAAGATCTACATGCCCTAAATTTTAACATTGACCAAATATAAAGTCTTTCTCGCGTGATATATATTTATACGTGGATATCATTAAATAGAAAAAAGAACATACCATTAGTTTGATTATAATTGTTACTAATAACAAAGAAATGTATTTTTATTTCCTGTTATTGTATATTTTTCACGGTCTCAAAATAAATTTAGGTTCAGATTGAATAATTTATTTAATAAATATTTATAGAAGTAAAAAATTTTGTAGTAAAATTAATTTATACTTCTTTATTTTAAAAGATGTTATTTTTAACTTATGAAAATAAATTGTTTTTTATCTTGATATTTTTTGTAAAAATTTCTCTATGTTATATAAATGTTATTTCTCGACATTGATATTTTTTAAGTCAGGGAAATTGCTTTGTTCATTAAGAGCAATATTTTACAAAATTTGTTCCTGACATTAATATATAAGAAGGAAAGGAAACCTAAAAAAAAAAAACAATATTAACATCTGTTCTCAATTCTAAGTAACTAAAAATAATAATTTAAATTAAAAGAATATTTATTATATTAAAATGTTTTTTTAATAAAAAAATGCCTTAAAATATTTAAAATCAATTCTAAAAGTAATGTTGACAAAACCTAACAAACTATCAATGATTAGAAAAAAGAATTCGGGTCAACATGACTGGCTGAAGGTAGAATGCTATAAACTTGTGAAGATATGTCACTCCAAACAGTTCATAAGTTGCTATATTTTATCTCTGTTTGCAGTTGTATTATTGGCAAGTTAACTCCAAATTCCTTAATCACTAACTTTTTTTTGTCATAACCCTTGTCATAATATTATAAATATGAATTTTAACCTTCTCCTATTGGCTCAAGATGTTGAGTTATGAAGTATTTGACATGGAATTGCAAAAGTTGAACAGTATCCATCAACATGTATCTCACTTATAATCAATGTAAATTAATTCACCAATTAAATTGAACTTAAATTATGAATTATCATACGTATCTTTCATGGCTGATGATATATAGGAAATTACCATACAGTATCCTTTTGGAAGAATGACTAATGTAGCAAAAAAGAAAATCAAAGAATTAAAAAAAAGATAGTACCAAAAGAATAACAACTAACAGACATTGGTTTTTATAGAAATAACCACAGACTCATACATGTATTAATTGGTAAGTCCCTAAAACTTCCTAAATAACAGTACTTAGGAACATCTTTTATTGTTAAACTTAATATCAATCTTTATATGAGTACAAGAAATTATGAAACTACTCTGTATACCAAAATCACTGTGCGAATTAAGCTTCACCTACGGGATTCGTCACCCTCTTCCTTTTATGTCCCCCTGCAGTCAGATGATGATCCTTTAACTTAGGATTTCTCTCATTCAACAAATCAAATATCTGAAAGGAAAAAAAAAAGAAACAATGAAAGAACTTAAGTCTTGTTTATTTCCATTAACTAGGAACATATTAGTTACTTTCCATTAAGTCGTTAACTAGTCAGAGAATAGCATAGCGTGACCAAGAACAATAAAAGATAAAGATCACTTATAATTAGAATCAAGAAAAGGGTTTTGCTAAGGACACAACTTCATCAATCAGTAGATTAAAAATTATGGTGAGATTGCATTAAAAATCAAGAGAGGTGTATAAATAATACTCTTTTGTAAAAAAAAAAACATGTATTTTGATTTCTTCATCATGTCTAAACACACATGTTAGCATTATTCACAAAAGAACTAGCTTACCTGTGTAACAAAAAATGATCCACATTGAAATTGAAGGTACTGTTTTTCTTTTCCTGAAGTTGAAGCCTCATTCTTGTTCCTCGAGGGCTCGGAACCACAACTCCAAGGACAAAGAAACGAGTCTTCTTTCTGAAGAAAAGATGTTAGTCTTGTATAAGATATAGTTTTGTCAACTGCAACAGCATTTATTTCCGTTTCCTCCACAGAATCTCGTCCTTCCATTTTGTGGGGTGGCGCTTCTTGATTCTGAACTGGAAGGCAATAGCTCTTCAACATGAACCAAGATTGGATAACTTTATGAACAGTCCTTATGCCCTGCATGAGATATGAGTATGACTCTGTCTGCAACATATACAAATTTCAGAGCCGTTCTCCCTCTTAAAAGATAATGTAATTCAAAATTTTAAACGAGATAATTGATGTTGATCCTACCATCTACTATTTTTTGGTACATGATTCTACTTTCTATTTCTTTGTTATCAAGTTTTTTTTAATATATATTTTACTATTTATTTTATATTGTACTGACATTGCAAAGATTGTTTAAAATTATGTATAATTCAATTATTATATAAATACAATTTTTTAAATGTATCAAAGACACGTAATAAAGAATCAAAAGTTATTAAATTTTTATTAAAATTTGTTACATTTAAAGCTATTGATATATTAAATCATATAATATTTAGTGATTTTCAATAAAACTTATATTGATATATATATATATATATATATATATATAGAGAGAGAGAGAGAGAGAGAGAGAGATAATGTTTTTACTTTAAACACATATTACTGAAAAAATTAATTTAAAATGCATTGATAACTTAAAAAAAACTACATTGTCATCTAATTATAAATTATTATATCAATAAAAATTATTGTTTTTGTAATAAAAAATATAAAAATTATATCTATGATATATTTTAATTAGTTGACACTGTAAAAGTTTTTACTGACCATGTATTAAAATTAAACTCTAACAAAAATTGATACATTATATACTTACATTTATTTTTCAAAGAGAGGCATAAAATCAAAATATTTTACATAATTATTTTTATTGAATTCCTTATTTGTGTACAAATTTAATGGTTAAATAAATGTTATATTATTTTTTTAAAAAAATCAATAGTATCCAACGATTGAAAAAGGCTTAGGTACAATTCCAGCCAATAATTCATTATTAGTATTGAAATTATGGGAATTTGGGTGTTAAAGGGAGGAGGAGAAAGAATAAAGAATAAATATTCTAAATTTGATATTCTAAATTTAGCATGAATACTAGAATAGAATCCCAACTAAATGTGGGAATTATTTTAAGAGATAACTTAAGATACTCTGAATTAATTATTCCAAAATACAAGCTAGATATAACTCCCAGTATCTTTAAATTATTTTCAAATAAAAAAGGAAATCAATTATTGAATAATAATTGATAACAGTACCGTTTTGAGTTTTATCTTGCAGTTGTCAGCATGTTTTCTCATTATGGATTTTAGTTTGAGGTTTGCAGGTGTCATATGCTAAAGATACTTTATCAATACATCAAAACATAGCATTATTGCGACTGCAGGGTTAGTTATATTATTTTAAATGTAAATAAATACTATTGAATTACATATTTAGAAACTTTTATATTCTGTTTAATTTTATACACATGATCTTTATACTAATATTACAATATTCAATGACTAAATTGATAAAATTTACTTTTAATAATGAGTCATTAGAGATGTCATTTAATCTGAACCTTTTTTATTATTAATTAAAATTTACCGTAAATTATAAATCAGCCTTATTAAATAAGAAATAGATTCATATGACTTTATTTTTTTATAAATTTAATAATAATAAATAATATAATTAAAATACCATGCTAGAAAGTGTTTTAACATATTTTTTTTGTTTATTTCTTTAGATTGGGTCTCAAATATTACTAAAAGTTTACAATTTATTAGTTTATTTTACATATACCTTAATTCAATCTTTTTAATCTATGTAAATTGTATAAAACAAACCTTATTTATCATCTCTTTAATTCAAATACGAATTTACTTTTGGTAGTGTTAGTGTAATAACTGTCTATTAATTAGAATATATAGTAAATATAATTTTATATTAATTACTATAAAAAATAATGTTTCTTATAATAATTCTTTCTAAAAAGCTATCTAATTAAGCATGTATTTTTTTTAAAATCATAATTATTTTTTCTTCTCACTTTCTTATAATTATATCTTCTCTCACTTGGCGTTTTCACTAACTGAGAGAGAGATTATAGGAATGTTCAGGCGAGAAAAAAAGTTATGAGTAAAATATACTAATTTTCTAAAAAATATGATTAACTCGTTTAGAAGGTAACGAAGAAAGCTTATCTTACCCAACCTTTCATAGCTTACCAAAATTGTAATAATACTACATCTGATCTTATATATAAGAAACAGATAACTAATTTATCATCATTAATAAAAACAGTTACATACAAAAAATATTTATATTATTCTAAAAATACCCATCATCTTAAATGATTCAGTCAGTGCTTAGTTAATATAACTTTATAATTAATTGAATATAAAAAAAATAGTAATTAATACATTTAAAAATAAGTCTTTATTTCTTATAATTAAATACAACAAATTTTGTAAATAACACTGAATATAGTGTTATTACTGTTGTTTTACAATTAAAATTAATGTTTTCTCACACACCCCTTTCTTCACCACTTGTATAATTTAGTGAATTTCATATAAATTGTACTAAATAGGACCGTATAATTTAATAAATCCCGAATAAATTAACCAGAAAACAAAAAATGTGCTAAAAAATGCCGAAGGACACACTGATAGCATTTTAAAAAAATACAATGCCACACCATTTCTACAGTTTTCGTGTGAAATAGCACTTGAGGAAAAAAGTATTACCATTTCAGCAATCATATAGCTAATCTACCTAACATTACAAACGCCGTCCATTACACAAGGTTATCTCACTTCCAATAAACTTTACACCAACTGAAGCATGGTTAGCTCCACATGAAAATCCCCTATGGCTGAAACTCAGGATAAGAATGGTTGTGCTATTAAAATTTAGGCAGAGGACTCCGCAAAGTGAAAGCCATTTACCTGCCCCGCACACTGTGGGGTGATTCACCACCTCTCTCACAGACGAGATCATCATCAATTTCACTATTATCTAAACAACGACCATTTTGGTTTACACTGACCTCAGAACTAGCATTACTGCTAGTGGCATGAGGAGAACCTGAAACACTAACAGTTCGGCTACGCTGAGGCCCCGACCGCACGCTATACATTGAAGATGCTGGAATATTAGTCATCAATGGTCGTAAATTGCCTGGAACCCTTCGCCTTATATCCTGTTCAAAGGGAAACCATAGAAATTATTAGGGGAAAATACAATTTCATCAGTTCTTGTCAATTCCGTCGTCAATAAAAAGCATGAAGTGAGATGAAGGTTCTCATAAAAAACTCTCATAATCTTTATATTCAACCTTGAAACATTATGCATACAGAAAGGGAACCAGCGATCATAGCATATTTATAGTGTTTGATACAACAGTGGTGTTCAAAATGCAGATGCATTCCAACTGGTAGAACAAATGCAGAAAATGCGCAGGAAGATGCATACCATATGTCTAATAGCCATATCCAAGGATTTCTTTGAGAGTGTTCTTCCAAAACCAGAGCTGTCTGGAGATGATGACGACTTGCTAGAAAGATTATGGGGAGAGTTTTTGTCATCCATTCTTGGTGGTGCAAGTTTCCGCATATTTATTACCCTCTCTACCATTTTGGTGCCAATTACAACAGGGCTGACATTGTCATTTGCTTTGGAGTACCCACGGCTAACAGCTGGCATAGAGGTTCCAGTTGGATGAGAAAGGCCATTGGAAGAACGTCCTCTAGAAGGAGAGCATGACTGCCTCCTTGTTCTGCCACTAGAAGCAGGCTCAACAGATGAAGACCGAGGCCCAGGCCTCCCCCTAGTTGTCGACAGTGGCCTTTCTGGAAGTGTTGTCCTCAAATTTGGCGGAGCATCAAGTGAAAAGCCAGGCATCTCAGATGGTTTCCATGGTCTTGATCTCACTGTTGGAGAAGTGCCACGAGATGCTACTGGCTGCCTTGACGTCACAGGTGCTGACTTTGATATTGAAGAAGACTTAACTGAAGGAGCAGATATGGCAGGTGCATTTGATGATGTAGATGGTCGCCGAGTTGGAGTTGATGCCCTTGATGTAGAACTTGATGCAGGTAAGGTAGGTCTGGTAGTTGGTGTTGAAGATCTTGCAGTAGATCTTGACAAAGGTGTAGAGGATCTAGATGGAATTGTGGGTTTTGCAGCAGGCACTGCAGTACTCTTACTGACAGAAACCATATTCTTAGTAGCAGAAACCACAGGCTTGCCTGTGGAAACTGTGGTCTTGGATGTAGCTACCATTGTCCTAGTTGAAGGTAAGGTTGTCCGAGAAGTAGGTGTTGAAGGTCTAGATGATTTTGAAACAGAGGTCAATGTAGGTCGTCCAGTAGGAGTTGCAGATCTTGATCCTGGATTCCCTGATGATGAGGGCCTCCTCGTTCCTCCACCACCTGAAGAGGTCAACCCAGGGGAGGAAGATGGCTGTTTAGATACTAAGTTGCTCCTGCAAGTAAGCTCCGATGGAGAATTTGCAAGCTATAACCAATCACAAGGAAACAAATACAACAAAAATTATTTTCTGATCCCCAGCATTAAAACAAAATAAAAAAATTTCTATTGTGAACTATGTGTTAAAACATCAATCTGTTGTTAATTTGGAACTAATAAAATACATACAGAGCATCACTTTTATGATTTTATCACTATAAAGAGCTAAAAATAATAATTATCAATTACTCAATGAAATTTACATATTTCAGTACATAGTTTTTTTGTTTTTTTTTTTATAAAAGAAATTTAAAATTTACAAAAGAGAAACAGGAATAAAGAATCCTCCTAAATAAAGGAACAAAACAGAACACAAACAAGAAAAAAAGAGAATCTATGCAACAGTGTTTCTCAATCCCTCAACATATCTATTACCAAAATCCCTTTAAAAAGGCCATGCGTTTCATACCACATAGACCCCAAATGCCTATTATTATCCGATAGCAAGTGATGTGCCAAAGAAACCTCCTTGATTCCTTAAATGTAATAGAGTTCTGCTCCAACCAATACACTAAATTGTAGCATAGATTGCCAATTGCCACAAAAAATTAGCCTCTTCACTTCTACCAAATCCATGAAAGCTAATCATCAAGAGTTGGTCTAGGGCCCTAGGACTGTAGGACACACCCAGCATTCACCAAAATGCTGAATATGAAGTGCCATAAAGAAACCACAACAGAACAGTGCAAAGAAAGAACAGGAGAGGATCCCTTAAAGAACCTTGATACTAAAGCAATGATCCTTTTATTGACAAATTAATTAATTAAAGCATGCCATGGAAAGGAAAGTTAGCAATAACAAGCAGTTAGTTTTGTTGGATGACCTGTGTGTGCAAACTAGCTATTTCTAGTCAGGCATCAGTAACTGAAATTATCCAATAATTAACTCACAAATTATGTTTCTCAAGCCTCAACAGTAAATAAAACTATTTATTTTTGCCTAACTCAAACTCATCATGCGTAACAAATAATAATGATATTGCCAACAAAAAGATTTTCCTCAAAACCAGGAATATACAAGGAAAAGTACAATTACATTTGTGAACTAAAACCTGACGTGAAAGACAACATATTCCAATTACCATAAAATAATATATAAGATCCAAAACATTCAATTAAATTGCTTACTCTAGATTTTAATGCAGCAGGACGTACAGTTGGAGCACCAAGCTGACTCATAACAGTTTTGTGTGTATCCATCTCCAGAGATGGAAAAAGGGGAGTCCCAGGTGGGGTCAGAAGCCTGAAAGACAATAAGCATGGTAAGCCTCAACGTGAACAATAACCATTCAGCTCAGGGGGGCAATAATACCATGTTATATTTTACAATGGAAGCTATGTCTAGATATTAGTTTCATTAATTTATTTCTCAATAGTTCACACTTCACACACGGAGAGACATCATCTATGCAAGAAGTAGTTAAAGATAGTGATTTCAGTTCAGAAAGAGGATGCACAATAAGAATAAGATGAGGTTAATAGCAAAACTAACAATAGTGATATAGTAGGAGTAGGACTAATAATTTATGATAAAGAAAAAAAGTACATACAAATATTAATTGTTTAATTGTTAAGTACTTAAATATATTACCAAATTAATAACGAGGAATTATGAAATTGTGCTGAATGCAGATGAACCTGCGATTTCTACCAACGTGTTTCTGATGCTGTCATCAAATTTTACCAAAGGTTCTTTGCAATCTTTGGAAAGGAGAGAGAATTGAGGCTTGCTTCGAAATTCGATCACGGGCATGCACAAGTACACTACAAAAAGTGTTTGTGCAATTTAAAATAAAGGGCTTACTCCGCCACGAAATGTAATTATGATTTGGTCGGTCCAGCTTAGAACTCAATCTAGACAGTTTCCCACATCTTATTAGATTTTTTTTTATATTCTGCAATCTAATTTAACTGTCCATTTCCAATTTGGAATTGCAAAGGACAGTTAGTGCTTCAAAGTTGAAGCAGCCCCTCTCAAACGCCAAACTCTATGCATGCCTTTCTGTGTAGCTTTTGGGGAAAATGTCCCATTATTGCACAAATTACAATAAAGAGAAGGCAAAGCATGAAGAAACCAGTTGCATAGATAGACAGAAAGTTAACAGCATATACCAGTCATAATCATTCTTATCGTTCTCTGAATTGAGAAAATCATCAGCAACGGTCTTACGCACCGGAACAGCCATGGACGGCGAAATGTTAAACAAGGGAGAAGTGCCCGGATTTGAGCCTTCAACACCAAAAATATAGCAAGTCACAAAGAGAAACCCAACAACACAACCATTTCGCATTCTTCACTATATCAACAAAAAACCACATCCCAAAAACATCGAGCAACCAAAAATCGCTAATACCTATTGCTGCATCATCGAACTCCTCGGAGGCGCGAAGCAAAAGATCATTGTGTTCCTTCTCGCGCTTCCTCATTTCGAGGAACAACGCGAGTTCATCATCCTTGTCCTTCACGCGCGAAGAAGGCTTGAAAACCCCCAATTGCTGCTGCCTCTGCTTGAACGCAGCTTGCATTTGCGATTCCTGAGCTCTGAAACTACGATTCATCTCCGAAATCGTAACAGCAATTAGGGATCAAAGAAAGAAAAGCCCCAAACAAGAGAAGAATAGAACCTAACTCAGTTGCCTCGTTCACCTCAACAACCCACCAACCGCAACTTTCTACACCAAATGCATCCTCGTAAACCAAAAATAGAAATTGAAAAAAAAAAAGTTAAATTAAATAAAAATAAAAAGCCCTATGTGAAACCTCATTGAAAATAGTTGGGGAAAAAACAAAGTGGTGGTGTGTTGGGTTAGGTGGAATGTGAAGGCACTGAGAATAAGGGAGAAGGAGCATTGGCGTTCCAGAAAGTTCGATAGGGGGAAGAGAGTAAGAGTAAGAGTGAGAGTGAGAGGGAAGAAAGGGGAGTGGCATTGAGATGTAATTAAAGTGAAGTTTGAAGATGGAGGGAGAGAAGAGATAATAATAGAATAGATGCCGTGAAGGTGGTGTTCTGTTCTTTCTAATTTCTATCACTTAAAGCCTACGTTACATGGTTGATGGATTCGATCGTTGGGTTGGGTGGATAATCACCATAATACCCTCTCTTTTTATATATTATTTATGTTTTTGAATCTTTTTCCAACGGTGACTTCGCAACTATCCACACTCATGAATCATGCAACCCCCTCACCCGAAAGCAACTCTTCAATTCTTGTTTTTTTATGCCGTCAATAATCTTCTTCCATGTTACCTTCCTCGTATCACTTCTCGTATGGGATAAGGAATAGGTCACAAAATTATTGTTGTTAAAAAATTGCATTAAATGAAAACTAAACATAGAAATCAAACTACACAGCCATAAAATATTCGGAGTTTCCTAAATAAGTAGCTTATTAGCTTTATAATTTTAATGCAAACGTCATATATAAGTTGCTTATTCCGTCTCACTTCCACAATGCAAATGCGGATTAGTGCATTGAAATCATTTTTCTAGCATTCCTCTCGTGAACACGGAAATTCTGATAATAACGTGTTACTTCCGTTATATTCACTTCACCGAGACACAGATTTGGTACCATTGAGTCCAACCTTAAATAGACATAGCACAGGAATTAAATAAATGATGATAGAAATTCAGCCACGGGTTGAGTTAGTTAGTCAAAGAAAATATGCCAGAATTTGATCGATTCAGCATTCTTGTTACTCGTATCACATAACCCGGGGAAAAAAAAAAAAGCAGGAAAACGTAGCTCATATAGATTACTATTCCAAGACCAAAAAACTGCTGATTACTATCCATCCATCGAGATTCCATTTGAAGCGAAGTCGGAATAAAGAAAAACCGCAAATTGAGGCAAAGACTGGTTTGGTGCTTTGCAATTAAGAATCTACGATGGGCATCAATAGCCTTTTCTCTTCGACATAAAACCATGATATAATTACAAGAGCGTTTATATGATAGGCAAGTCCAAATATGTTCCCTAAAAAAAGCTTCCAAATGCATCACTAGTGCTTGAATTTGGCACTAGAAGCCAACGCATACCAAATGGTAAGTGCGAAAGAAGATCAATATTATAACAACTGGAAAAAAAAGGATTAATTAGAAGTTATAACATTAGTTTTTTTTTTTTTTTAACATCAGAATTAACAATAAAATGTATTTAAATTGTGTTCTGGGCAAAATGCAGATTTTGCTAAATTGCCCCTATAAGATCCACATTCATTGAACAACAAACGAAGAGGATAAAGGAATGTACAATTCAATTGTCAATAGTAAGATGACTAAGCATCATCTGCATCACTTCCACCAACATGTGCTTCATGGCTCACCCAAAAATTGCTGCCATCAGGACCTGACACCTTGTACCTGGCCAAAAGTAAAACGCATCTAAGCCACCATATACTTATAGCTCAAAATAACTTCACATCATATTAACAATGTTTTCTCACGCATTTCTACTGACCGTTCAAGAACAGATTTTCCTTCCTTGTACTTCTGGCTTTTATCATGAGCAGTCTCCTGAAAGAAACCAATAGGGTAACTTAATTCTACATACAAACAGAAAAAAGCTTACTCACGAAGCACTACTACAAATCTTACATATTTCCAACCAACAATTGATCCACAACCCACACAAAAAATGTCAGCCACAGTATGCATCCCAGTGAGCATCTGTCTATCCTCTTTCTCTCCAGTAGAAACATTCACACTGTAAAACAATAAAATATTTTAACCACATACAAGAACAGAAGCAATTGCAAAATATAATGTGGCTAAAGCTTTAGACAGACGTCCAGAAGCAAGAAGCCATGAATTACAAACATAAATATTTTCCATAATATATAGGTTACAATTTACAAGATTCACAATCATCTAAATGTCAGTTGATGAGAGTGACAGCAAGTATGCATTGTTCTTGTTATGTAGCTGTGATGCACATAGAATTTCTATTGGATATGTAAGCACAAGAAGATCCATGATGGATATGCAAGAACGATAATAGCAATGAGTAATGTATATCCTCAAACAAGTTCATGGACATATAAAAGGTCATTTAATTTCTTTAATTTTTTTTCTTCTCATTTTTAGACAATATAAGTGGCATACTACTATATTAGCAAGTTTTATTGATGATAGTCCAGATATAAATATCAAAAGTGAATGGCTATCTTAGTTTCTGTAGCATTCACACAATGACAAGGTTCAAGGATAACTTACACCTTACTGAAGAGATAAGCCTTCCCATGTCTGCTGTGGAAAGACTGAATAGAACAGTACAAGCAAAAATTTTAGTCAGAATATACATTGTATGAAAGGCCAATAAAGAGTTGGTGGTGACTTGGTTCCAATTAGAAATCACTCCAGAAGCATCACTAAAAAAAAGATTGATGTTTGAAAAGCTTAACTGTTAACACTAACAACATATACTCGGCCATCCATCAGATCACCTAAGATAAGAAGCATCCGTACAACCAAAATATGAGAATGTAAAACAAAATGTGCCAAAGCCCAGAGGCAACAATTTCAACGTGAAGATGCAAAATGAAGACAACGACAACATAACGTAACTGATACTTTGGTCCATAGAAATACTACACAACCAATTTCTCCATCGAAGATAATAAAGTTGGTTCAAATTCTACTTACGAGGAGCAACAACATGTCCTCATGTAAACAGGCAAAGAGACCAAAAACCCTGTCACTTATACTTTAATTTCCACATCTTGTATTCACAAAAAAATGAAGAATCAAAATCTGAATAACTTGGTTATTCACTTTTCTTTTGTGAAATATGCCAAATCAACCATGTCACAGTGGTTAGCCAATTATGCAGAGAACCTCTTTCTCCCTCTTCTCTTTTGCAAAGTAAGTATATAAGAACATGCAGCAGAGAGTTTATAGTTCAGAATAAGACAAGCAAAGAAATTTTACCTCCCTGAGCACTTCCGTACATTTTTACCACTAGAAATTAAAAAGGAAAAACCACAGCACTGAAGAAATGATCCAACAAATATATTCATTATTTAAGGGATCTCATCTTAGCAATTCAGTCGAAGCACTAAAAGAAATGATAAACAAAAATGTAATCTCGTAAAAAACTAACAGATTTTCAGGCAAAGCAAGCCCACTTCCACTCCTCTCCCCCCCCCCCCCCCAAACCACCCACCTTGTGAACGGACAAAAGTTCCTTTATTTTTTTATTAGAAGAACAACATAAATTTTCCCTCAAAAATCAAAATCAATCCAAACCAAAACAATCACCAAATCTAAGACACACTGATAGGATCATTATTTTTACCCACATTAAATCACAAACTCATTTAACAGATAAATTAATAACACTTCCCAGATGAAATTAGAGAGGCAGAAAAAGCAGGAGAGGAAGGAAGATGAAAACAAAACCTTGGAAACGATGTCTTCAGAAAGAGCTATATGAGTTCGACAGTATTTGCAGCTATAGATCTTCCCTTCTAGATGGGTCACAAACAACCTCCCCATATCTCAACACCGAATTCAAAGCAACAATTGAAGATCAACGATGGCTTTAAGCTGAAGGGTCAACGCGAAATTCAACGAAAGACGCAGTCAAACCGAGATCGCTCAAGGGTCAAATTGAAGCGATGGTGAATCTAGATATAGCGTGAATTAAAATAAGCACAGGGAGAAGAAGAAGATGAAGAAGAAGGGAATGGTTGAATGATACCTGAGTTTGGGTTTGGGTAGAAGAGTACGCAACCAGTTGCAAGAAATGTGGAGAGAGAAGCAATCAATCATCGCTTTTTCTGCAAAAGCAAAACACGACAAGACGTGTGTTGTGAATTATTATTTATTTATTTGTATTACGTTAATTTTTATGGGAACGTGTCTTGGGTAGAGTTTTTTACTGTAAAATAACCTAAAAAAAAAATAAAAATTCTGATACAGACTCTTTCTGCCATTTTTTTTTTACACGTTTCTTTTTGCTATTCAGAATTTGATTTTTTGAAAATTGAGTTAACCAAATTTTAAGATAGTTTTTAGTTTTTTCTAATAAATAAATATTATTATTTAAATTATATTTATATATTATTATTTTGTTAAAATAAATATTTATAATATATTATTTTAATAAATATTTATAAATATTTTATTAGTTATATATAATAAAATAAGTTTTATTATTTAATTTTTATTTTTATTTTTATATTATTTAAAAATAGTAATAATATTCATTTTAAATGTTTATTAAAATTTAGTTGATATATTTAAGATAATAAATAATATTATTATTTTTTAATTATATTATTTAATATAAATTTATTTTTTGAAAATGATATTAATATTATATTCTAAAATTATATTTTTGGTTATTTAATATTATATATTTATAAAATAAATAAAGTATTAAATAATAACCAATTTATTTATTTATTATGATATATTAATATTTATTAAAATTTATACATAATTATTTATTTAAAAAAATATGTTATTAATATTAATAAATAATTAAATAACATTATGTACATATATTATATATATAATTATATATTGAATATAAATTACAAATACTAAAAATTTAAAAGATGCAATGACATTCATAAAATTAAAAATGACATTAAAATTTTTTTAAAATAATAACAACATAAATCAATGGCGAGAACTAGAATTTTGACCGATGTTTGGACATGTCTTTTTTGTGTGACCAGGGGTATGACAATAAGAACAATTTTTTGTCCAACTTTGTTGTTCTCTAATGTCTATCTCTGTTCTTATCCTACTAGACTTAGGTCGACCCTTTGAAGTTCTTTTTAATTCTGGATTTAGACACAAAGTTAGGTTCGTCTAAGTTAGCCAATAGTCTTCGTGTCTGAGTTCTTCAAATTGACCTTCGTATAACTTAGAAACTTGTTGTAAGGTATATACAGAAGATATGTAGATGTCAAAGTTGTGGTGTGTGTAAGCATGAAGCAATTACATGCGAGCATGGGATGTTAATTTTTTAAAACTTGTCACAATCACACCGCATTTCATCTAACCGTACTATAAATTTTTCTACGGGTTGAATTTCTGTTGGATGTTGCGTTTCTTCAACTAAAAATTTAGTACTTGTTCTGTCAAAGGTGATGACTCTATGTCCTTTGACTGTGCATCTCGAATTGCTTTAGTTACAACCTCCGAGTACATATGTCCAGCATTAATCATTGCATCTACTTCTTTGCTTCTGTTAATGAAGAACTTATTGCAACGGGTGTATGTTGCCATGACCATGTAGCAAATTGGTAAGTTTATGGTTTTCTTCAAGACCAAATTGATTGACTCCGCTAGGTTTGTTGTCATGTGTCTCCAGCGTCGTCCGTTGTCCCATGCCAGTGTCCATTTTTCCTTGGGATGTTGTCCAACCATTGTGCAACTTCAGGATTATTATCTTTTACTATGTTGTAATAGTAAAAAAATTTCGGTTCAATGATCCCATATGCTGGAAATAAGATTACAAATTAAATTAATATAACTAACTAAGCAATTGTATAAAATATTAATGATAATATAGACTATGTAAAAAATTAAAATTAACCATATTGACGACATCTTTCTTCAGTGTAACATTTTTGAATCGTCGCATGAAGTTTTGTGCAATGTGTCTAATGCAATAGACATGGACAGAATTGTTTTCTGTCTAACCACTTCCATTTCTGAAGTATGCACTTCTTATGGCCTCGTGACAATCCAAAATGAGGCACAACCCCTCTTGCGGAGTTACGTACCTCCTTAAGTTTTTCAAAAAAAAGAACCATGCATCACTAGTTTCACCTTCAACCATAGCAAAGGAAATGAGAATTATGTTGTTGCGGCCGTCTTGTGCAACTGCCACTAATAAAGTCCCTTTGTATTTGCCAGCAAAAAATATTTCATCCACTTGAACAATTGGTTTGCAGAAGGCAAAACCATCAATGCATGCCTTGAAGGTCCAAAACAACCTCTTGAAGAACACATTCCTCTCGTCAAGCAAGTCACCGTTGTATGTCGGTTGTGTACTCAATTTCTATATGAAGCCTGGAACATACAGTTGCATTGCAAGCAACTGTCTAGGTAACTTATAGTAAGACTCCTCCCAATTTCTAAAAATATTTTCAATGGCATGTTGTTTCCCCAACCATCCCTTTCTATAGCTGATTGTATGACCCATTATGGACTTTATGTGGGCTAAGATGGTTGTGATAGGTATGAATGGATCAGTCTCAATAATTTCACGAATGGTTTGAGAAATCATTTGTGATCCCAACTTGTTGTGATCCTGTGAAATGATTGGGGAAGCACATATGTGACACCCTTCAAGTTTCATTATTTCTCAATATTGCTTTTTGGTGCGCAATATAGCGCGACATCTCTAGGCACAGTCGTTGTGAACGCATTCGACGACAAGCCTGATTGTGTTTGACATTTTCACCTTATAAGTGCAATGATTAACAATGTGAAATCTATTTATGACGTCTTGGACTTGTTCTTTTGTTGAGAAGCGTTGACTAACAAATAGTGTTTCAGGCGGATACACTACCATTTCACAATTAAGGACATGGCCAAACTCAGAGTTATGTTCTTGTATTTGACTGGGAATGTTTAGAAAATGTAGAGGTGAGTTGTGTAATGGTAATGATTGTGATAGTGAAATATTTGGAAGTCGGAATGAGTCTTTTTCATCATCCTGCTATTGAAATAGGATTTCATCTTCGTCCTCGCTAAAAGGATCAAATACTTCGATTGGGAGACCAACAACAACATGTTCTTCAAGAGGCTGAGAGGGTAAGGTTTGCTCAAATGGTTCAGAGGGTATTTCATTGAGGACTATGAATGAACTAGTTAAAAGTTGTATGTAGGACTGAAGGTCAGAATTCATATCATATGTTGAAAATGATGGATTTATGGTTTCGTAAGTTTGGTAAGGTGAAGGTGAAGGTGGAAGTTGTAGTGGCTGGAATACGTTTGTAGCAAATGTAACATATAATTCTATACCTGATTGAAGTTGATTTGAATCGTGGATGTTGAAGAACGCCTCGACATCTTCATCATCGTTCAACTCAATACATGTGTAGTTGTTAACTCCCAGGCCAAGAGATAGTAACATCTCAGTCACGCATACTAAAAAATAGTGACTTCTCAGTCACGCATGCCAATGCTACATGACATCTTAGTCATGCATGCCAAGAGATAGTGACTTGTCAGTCACGCAAACCAAGAGATAGTGACTTCTCAATCACACATGCCAAGAGATAGTGACTTCTCCGTTTATCTATAAATATGTTCATCCAAGGCCACATGTTTTTATTCAAACTTGCATCCATCTTTGTTCTTTGTTTCTCTCTGTCTTTGCTCCCATTACTAAAAATGTTGTTCTGGAAGCAAAATGAACACAGATCCGCCTTCATTGGAAGAATGGTAAGTTTTACACATTAGCAAGTCTAACTGAATATGTAAATCAATATTCTACATATAATGTTACTAATTTATTAATAACTGCAGGAAACTGAAAACATGATTTCATCTTTCTGTCATCAATGCCAGAACCCAGTCCTTTAATTGTTCCTATACTTGAACAACTTGGTTTTGCTAGGATAGCAAATCTAAGGCATCTTAAAGCAGATCACGCATTGATAACAGCTTTGATCGAGAAGTGGAGACTTAAAACTCACACATTCCATTTTCCAACAGGGGAGTGCATCATAACCCTGGAGGATGTTTCACTTTAACTCGAATTAAGAGTTGATGGTTTACCAGTCATTGGTCCAACAATGTTTGATTGGGAGGAAATGTGTAACACATATCTCAATATCGTGTCAGTCAAGGGAGAGTCACTTATTGGCTCTATGCTAAAACTAAAGTGGCTGAGAGACAACATGTTGCTATTATCGGAAGAACCATCTGAAGAAGAAGTTTATGCCCATTGTAGAGCTTATATACTAGGTTTAATTGGAGGTGTTTTGATGCCTGACAAAACAGGCAACAAAGTACATATTATGTATTTAGCTTTATTAACTAATCTTAGAAGAACAAAACGATATAGTTGGGGTTCTGCTTGTTTAGCTATGTTGTACAGGGAAATGTGCAGAGCCACAGAAGTTGGTAGCAAAATAATAGGTGGTTGCTCATCACTGTTAATGTCCTGGGCATGGTATCTCATGTCATATATTGCGCCAATTTCTATTAATCCACCAACATACTTGTGTGCAGATGGAGCGAGGGTAGAGTACTAAACTTTTGAAATAAACCTCACAATGATGTTGTGGGGTACATATCAATGTTTAATCACATTCAAGCTAATCAGGTAATTCATCATATTTATTTTCTTATCTTTTACACATCATCTTAAGTAACAAAGTTAAATATATTTGTAGTTTTTATAGGCGCCATATCAAGATTTGCAGACATCAATACCCATGGAAGCATATAGAGATGTCCAACTGTGGACTTCATGTACCGCCATCCTTTGTTTTACAATTGTTGAGTGGCACCAAACATATAGAGTTAAATTACAGTTTTGTCTACTCCAAGAAGTCCCTTCTCCACCGAATAATTTGAATGACTTCCACAAAATTGACATGAGAGGAAGACAGGATGAAAATTGGGTTACAAGACATGCTCAATGGATCGAAATATATAACAACAGACATGAGCTGACAATAACAGGTCATTCAATTCAAGGCCCATTGTGTCACACACAAGAATACATGGAATGGTACATTACTAATTCTATCTATTTTCTATTTGTGCCACAATTACTACAAGATCCAAGGATGAGCGACCAACACATTTGAAATGGG